CCCCAAAACCCCAAAACCCCGCTTGTATTCGAAATTAGCAAAGAGTTAAAAATTTTAAATTAAAAATGTAAAATTTAAGTGACTTGAATCAATACTCCAATCAAATATAGATCAATAATGAGAATTCCAATGGATTTTCTTAAGTTTATTAGAATTTCAATCAACCTAGCAATAATTCAGGAACGAAATCTAAAAAGAGGTCCTACCAGGATGCACAATCATCTTGGAATGAGAAAATTAATGAAGGGCGCCAAAACTTCAAAAGGCTCAGAATTAATGATCCTGCAGATTAATAATCAAAATTAATTGAGTCTATGCTTTCTAATCACAATGGATATCCACATCATTAGTATAATTCTACTTAGCAAGAGGATGGCTAAGCTTTGGAATAAGTTAATCATCAATGCTCGATGAATAATGAAAATGATCAATACTCCTATTTGAACAATAGTCCGATATCAACTTGCATTTCTGAACAATAATCTAGCTAGATTCACAGTTCGATGACTTTGCAATAACTTACAGACATGTATCAGCATAATCAGCAATATGACTCCTCCCTAGAAAATCAGCAACTTAAAATCATTAGGGAACAGAACTTGAGAATGAGATAAAGAATGAGAGAAGATTATGAAACTAAGACTAGAGAGTAAATGATTCAGACCTAGCAAATGTACGAGCATGAGAAATTTATTGTTGAGCAAAATTATCAATAGATAAATGATATGCTCAGGAGGATTTAGTTTGGCTAGTGAAAGCCTTATGGATTACTGCACTGCTTAATTGACATTATTAAATTCTGACCAGTTTAACCAACAATAAAATGATCAATCCAGGATTAATGCTTTAATATGTTTGTATAGTTATAATTAATTTTAATTCAAATGACACTAACTTTAAAACTTTTAATAACAAAAATTGGTTAGGCTTAAAAGCTATAAAATTAAGTGTCTTATTCTTGAAAATTTATTATGAGTTCAGTTTAATTAACTCATAAACTCTTGAGATTAAATAATCTATATATTCTCAATTTCATCCACTCAGAGTGCAGTAACTAATCTAGAATTCTCTGTTTCAAGTCTTGATAAATTAGTGCTTGCACTTGATCTCTAGTCAAGAGGGAATTTAGGCTGCTTTCTTCTTGGCTGTGATAATCTGCTAACTGATCTTTCTTAACTTTTTCTTAAATTTTCAATGGCTAAATAAGTTCCTTAGTCCTTGACAAAAGAGCTTTAGGATTAAAGATATAGATCAGGTTTCTTTGAGGAAACTGTGCTTCTCATCCTTGCTTGTTTAGTAGTCTGTGGTCTGCAATACTATGAAGGAGTATTAGGTGTTTCATAATGTCTCAAAGATTCCACATAGCTATTTTTATATTCTGCAATTAACTCTGCTGGGTAAAATCCACCATTTCCACGCCTATAAATTTGGTTATCTCCTAAATTCAATTATTATTACACAACGTATGCATCTCTGCCTGATCCGTTTGAAAAATATTGTGTCCTCTTTGTCTCAAATTAAGCATTTGCACTGAATTTCTTTCTTGAATATGTTTAGAAGGTACCAGTATTAGGTGCATAAGCAGGTTCATAAGCCTTGTAAAGCCCTCCGTTATCTTAGTTGATATAGCTGTCCCTTCCGGAGCCATCAACTGCATATTGTGATGGCCTTCCTAGCCTCATGCTTGACTTTGAAAGGACATGCGACTTTCCTCCTCCGAAAGTATTATAAACAGACATAATAATAATTTTTAATAAACAACAACTCTATCAATATATTTACATTCGATTCGCTTTTGGGGTTTTGGGGTTTTGGGGTTTTGGGGAGATCGGA